ATTGTTTCATATAATCACTTGTAACGTTAACAGAATATTTCCAGTTTTTTGTATACAGTAAACTTGCTCACTGCAGCCGATACTTAAGTCTCGTGTTTTTGCGACATTATGAAACGAATTCGGTTAAGAGCTTTTAGATATTAAAGTAATCAGCGAAAAAAATCTGCTATCATGTGAACTAAAACACCTTTAAGGGATTTAAATACAAACCAAAGAATATCAAGCTCGACTGAGTTCATATTCATATGCCCCATACGTATATCTTCATAATTTAGTTAAAATATCTTCCGACTGTTCCAGACCGCATTTGTCTTTTGCCGAAGCTCAGACTCTGGCACAGGATCGGGAACGTTGGAGGCTCTCTCTGACGCGTCTGCCTCCGCAACCCGAATGGAGAAGCGGCGATGGAAGATGAAGATCTTTAATCCTGGCATTTAAGATAATATTCGTTAACTGTCAATAAAACATGCTCCAAATGTATTTTTGCCAGAGGTCTAACATGAACTTCCATCGAATACAGGAATGTGGTAATCATCCTAGCATGCTAGCCTACATGTACTTCATTTGGAAGACTTTTGAACGACGGAAAGTTTTAATAAGTGGACACAGGGGAATCATCGCCAACAAACGTCAATAGCAGCTAGACTTTATCGCCAATACTTTCGAACATTATCATCAGCTGATAGAAGAGAGCGTATCGATAGTATCAATGATAGGCATCGAGCGAGTTAAAAGTAAAAAAGCGATCAAAAAATTCTAGCTTATCTAAGGTAATAAAAGCAAGCTGTGGAATGGAACAGCGGTCCGCTTTTCAGTGCTAAAAATTGCGAACTACTGTACCGGTTGTAGAAGTTAACTCAGTTCATTTTACAGCTAGTGAAAGCTGATAAACTGTAGTATCGCATAGTACGAAAGGAGATCTTATCATAACCTTTGACCTTGAGTTAGAATAAGAATCTCAAAATATGTTTCTTTTAATTTTGGATTTATGATCAGTGAAAGTGTTTCCGTTACTGCATCATATATGAAGAAAAATGTCCTACTTTTGCAAACAGTACTTACATGAGAAGGTGAGGACTACTCTGCGCATTTGACATGATAGTTATTTGCATTCTCGTAAACAGAGAAGATGAAATGAATCTATGGTAAATGTATTAAACGATACTTAACGGGCATTTACGATAAAATGAGAAACACAACTACAAATTAAATTTAATAAGAAAAATATGTAAATGAAGTTCGGATTAAAGTGTGTGCCGAGATAATTTGTATAGAATTCATTCGCTAAGCGCGGTTATGAACACTAGTTCTTGCTTAATTAGTATAAACATAACATTCTCTGCAATATAGAGTTTCTACCTGGACTGAAGTTGCAGCTCCAATGAGCAAACCACACGATTGGGCAGCAAAGGAAACCAGAATGCACATGGCAAGGAACATGACGAACCGGAATGTTTCCTGTGCCTGCCCCGTCATCCAGTAAACGATCGTACTGTAGATAATTGGAAAGATTACCTGAATGATTAGAAGGGATGTAACGGAAGAAGAAACGAGCACAGAAAATCGTGTTTACCTGGAAAGGAAAATCAGCCATACTTTTGGCGCAGAAGTACGACTTTAAGCTATACCAGTAGTTGAGATGTTCCCGCATCAACACATCCATTTCGAGAGGAACTAAGAAAAAATGCATGCGCTTTACGGCTATAACTGAACTAACAGCTGGTGAAATCCGCACAACGTAAATTTAGAATTTGTAAGTTTCTTTTTTAAAAACAACATTTTTTACTCACATGTCATCACTGTAGGCATCATCGCCGTGAACATCAGGAACATGACCGAGAAAAACATGCATGCCGCGTTGTTCATTACTTTGGATGACTTGTTGCCAATGTCGTAGTACAACAGGCCAATCAGCACGCCCACTGTCAGATGAATGATGAATCGAAGCTGCGTCAGATTCTACAATTTGAGGTAATTCGTTTACACCTTATGATAAAGGCATTGATTACCGTATCCCGTAAAATGCACATAAAAGTTCTTTTGTACAGAACTACAAACTGTTTTGCACAATTACTGCTGTATCGCTTGATTCGCGGCATGTCCATCTGTCTTTGTTCCCTGCAGGATGGAGAGGGTTTCACTGGGACGCAGTTGCTGCTCGTGCACTTCTCGAACTGTGGGTCAGTTAAGTTCTGTGACTCGGTTCTGGTGCCATCGTTACCCACTTCATCGCTCCTTTCGCAAGAACCGTCATCGACAGCCTTGGTGAGTTTCTCCAGTTGGTCACCATACACTCCAGATGCAACTTCGATAACTACAATAGAATGAAATAGATCTACATAGGGTATAAAATAATCAGAATTCTAAAAGAGAACTCATAAGCTTGAAAATGATAAAACGCACAGGACGCACGCCAGATGTCCAAGAAAATTCGTGAAAGCCTTATACATGTACAATTTTCCCGTTGTAAGAATATGAATGTCAGTAGCAACATGATCAGGGATGCAAGTTTTGTGTCATACGCAAACGCGCAAAACTTTTCAACGTTCTTTGGAATCTTCAGTAATAAATAGTCGAACGCTCCCATTCATACAGTTATATGAATAACAATCGACAATCTGTTTTTTCTTAACTGAAGGCTGCTGCGTCCGTGATATTTTACAGGTACGAGCGAAGCAATCCCTAATTCTCTTTAATGGATTCAGTACTGCAACAAGGATAGGAAAAGAGCATTGCAGGTGTCTTCTGCACCGTTTGAAGATGAACTGCGGTACACCATGTGACTGCGGACATGAAGTTCAGACCACGCAGCATATTATTTCCGAAAGTCCGTCTAGAACGTTCTATGTCAGCATAACTGATACTGAGAACGCTACGACGGTAACCATTCACTGGCAGAGAAATGTTCACAATCAAATGTCAAGCTGCTAGTGCTGGTCACCCTTCCAACAACCATACGATTGAAAAAGAAGTACTGTGCTTAAGTTTCAGTGCTTCTTACACTGACACGTAATGCAGTTTCCAAGTCAGCCCTCTTATAATTTTAAATCTTACAATAGTGGTTACTGCAACTGGCTATTTAGTGGTAAAGCATTATTGACTGAGAGTCAGTTACATAAGTTGTCAAACATGCTTACCGAAATCAGCCGGATTATGATACGGGGGACATTTGAGACCAAACGAATTCAAATACTGCAAAAGATGATCAGTCTTTCCTCTGTAAATGCACCTACCGTCGGCTAGCATGTAAAGCTAAAATAGACAAGTACTGGTATGGCGATGGAAACTTCAATCTTACGTACCGTGTCGAACATTTCGAATACCCTAGCTGACGGCTGATGAATCGTACATACTACAGTTCGTCCTCCGGTGGAAAGCGACTTCAAAATACTGATGCACTGCAAGCACGTCTGGGCGTCGAGACCGCTTTAAGTAAAAATTTCTGTGCTAAAGGAAACAAGAATGGCTGCCCGGCAGCTACCTGGTCGGTTCATCGAAAAACATCACTGGCGGATTGTTGATGAGTTCTTGAGCGATGCTCAGGCGTTTTCTCTGACCACCGGACAAACGACCTCCGCGAGTATGTTTGCATTGTGACAGTCCAAGGGTGGTGAGAATCTCGTCCACCTACAAAAACATTAAAGTTTTCACTCAATGCCATTTGCAGTATTTGAGTGAAAGGATTTAAGATTTGATATGCTAACGAATGGTGCGAGGAGCTGACTCACTGTCGAACGTGCGTTAAGTCTAAACGTTTTCTACCTGTGGTACATTCTTCGGTTGTGACAGTGAACGGAATTTACAAGAATTTTTAGGCAGTGACCAGTAATCGACTAATCGACACTCATCTGATGTGGGTCGATCTGTCACGTATAAGCTTAAAGTGCAAATAACCATATGTTTTTCATCGCTTCCGTTAGACCGTTGCTTACAGAAAGCTATTTCCACGTTTATGATTTTGTGAACAGCAAGCAATATCCAAAGTAGGACAGCGGAATGGTTACGGTTCCATGTTTTGCACCAGCATGTATATTGAACAAACAGGGTAATCATGAGTAAAGCTTTGCGAAGACCAAAACGATGGCGGGAACTGGAAGTCACATCCTTGTTCAAATGATGCAAATTCTGTTGACTTGCAGCAAGCAGTGTCCCTCTGGTTTTATCGTGAATATGAACAGAAATATGACCATCGGACGGAAAGCTCCTTTTGATCAAGTAATGGTAAAACTCAGCATTAAAAATTTATAAGTTAGAAGAGTAAAATTTTGTTACAGTGTCACGGGAATGAGTGACAAATGCCCGCATAAAATAATGCTCCAGAAACTACTGTTGCTGAGGAGGCAGTGTTGGCCCGTACGTGCTAAAAGGATTTCACCAAATTTTGTAATCTGCCGCTCTTCCTTTACGTTGCACTGGACTGTTTCACGAGAACCGACAGTAAACAACCGACTCGTATCCGGCATCTTTTGAAATTACTTGGCAGACTCGGTAACTGCGGCGCTGAGAAGTCTGGGTCCATTCTGACCATACGCTGTGTACAGATCTGTTCTGAGCGACCCAACTCTTTCTTTTTACCAGTGTTTCAAAGAGTGCATTTCAAGGCGGCTAAGCACAATGTCGGCGTACGTTCCTTGAAGGTGCCGGACTAAGGCTTCGTCAAATTCAGGCATTCCGTTCGATGTTTGATCGATCCTAAGAAAGGAACATTTTAGTTGAAGTTATTTTGGAGGACATTCTGATCAGGCTGATAGGGTTCCACCTGTTTCATGTTTGTTCATTTGTTGTATCAAGGTTTGTTCTTCATTTAATTTTATCTAAAATTTGACTGATTGACTCACAGTTGGCATGAGGCCAAGAGTAACGTCGGAAACCGTGCTGTACAGACAGCATCACAAGGTACAGCGAAATAACCTAAATGGTATTATAAGATAATTGAACAGATCTGGAATCGTGCGTCACTCCTTCTATCTCTTTGCACAGTTGCAAACGTCCATTATATGAATATATTAAGTATAACCACGTGTTTATACTTAACATACATAGAGTTTATCGTGTAATTATTTAGAGTTCATACTGATTTACCATTGGTACTATCTAACGATACTTACGATCCTTTTCTTCTGCTTTGATGAGATTTTGTTGGACAGTTTCAAGTTAGCAGCAGATGTCATAGCCTCTTTCACAGTAAGATTTTCCAAGACGTGATCACTCTGCATGATATATGCTGAAATGCGACGAAAGACGGCTAGGTTTCTCTTCTGGCCATTTATCATCACCTCGCCACTAGCACCTTTGACCCTAAGCAGAGAACAGTCGTGGTAAAGGTGAAAAAATAATTTAAGATAGCCCCAGTAGTATTTAAGATTATACATCTAACAAATAGTCAGCCAGTGAATAGTATGACTTACGATACAATTTTTTGATGGTGAGACCTTGAAGGGATAGCATCGTTCCTTAAGAGAGTATTTAGAACGTTGTATTGCTATCAATTTTTAATCTTTGCTAATCGTCGAAGCATAAGTATTATTTAGATGCTTTCAGTTCCTCATGTCGCCAACTTTGTTTGTTCATCATTCATTCACTCACTGGTTCATTCATTAATCCGTCAGCCATTAATCCACATTCATAGCTTGTCCTTTGATTCGAGTTGTCTAGGAAGCAACTTCCCATGGCATTTCCAATCTTCCTGGTCTACCACAGACTAGCTAAGCTTTAAGGACCAAATTCAAAAGCGTGATTTTCTGAGAGTTCAATGCTGGCAACTTGACCGTCGGTTGGCCCCATGGTCCCCTAGTCTTTATTACTGGTCTTGGTAATGGTGTATCTAAGGATGGCTAAACAAGGAGCGGTAATTTATTAGTTATTTAATTTTGATTTATTTTGTTAGTGTAACCAGATTCTAACTTGTATCCTGTCAGCACATTCATCAGCGTTGATTTTCCCGCTCCAGACGGTCCCATGATCGCGACCAACTCGCCGTGGCGGAACGTTCCCGAGACAGCCTTCAGTAAACATTTCCGTTCTAAAATACCAATGCTCAGAATTAAAGATCAATGATAAAATTTGTTTTCGTGATCATAATTAGAAAACAACTGCACTGATGCTGGTGGTTATAGAACTAGTCAAGGCGACGAACTCCTCTAAGGCATGGTCTGTATACCAAATATCCCTAATTATTCGTGAATAGTTTAAAATCAGACGTAGAAGTACTTTTCAGAAACGTTGCTACCGATAAACTCTCTACCTTTTGCTAACGCGATCGATATCAGAGATAAATCAAAAGAAAGAACCGTTATTTATCAAAAAAAATATGCAGGTGTGTGGTGGATTCCATTTTTTGTAATGGAACGTTATTCATCCTTCGGCTAATGAAACAGTGATCAAAAATGGATCGGAGCTAGCATACAACAAATGATCTCTCCAGAACTAAATGGAGATGAAAAAGGATGGAAATATACCAGTCTGAAGCATAGGTGCTTAAGGGAAAAATACCTTTATTAAATTCATTATAGGCATTCATGATCAATGACTACGTTTGTTCCTTAGCATTGCTCCATTCAGTGTAGTACGTTCAGCTCTTCAAGTAAGAAATGTTCATTGCTCTAGATTGTGACAGTTGAAGATTAAACGGCATTTTGTCAAGAATGTTGCAGAGGGTTCCATTCTTGGCCACAGCCACACCAAGAGTGAAAGACTTCGCAAAGGTAATCTCGAAACGGAAAGAGTTTCCTAGCCACTAGTCTAGTAAACACATTTTCTCATTTTGTGCTCTCTCTCTATATTGTTGATTGTCGTAAGATTGTGTACTTCGTTCGTGCGTTAGAGGTTATACTGAAAACAACGTAAATTAAGGTTTGTTATCAAGGTATCGATGCAAAGATGTAGCCACTAGGCCGGATCATTGAATGAAGCGTACAAATGCTGGTAGCTTCATTTGTATATAGATAGCATGCAATGAAAATAACAACAAAATTAAAAAGTATATCACATTATTGGTGTTTAGGTTCATTGGCTAGTAGCTGTGGCCTTAGATAATCCATTAATCCTTTTTCCCTTCCAAGTTTCCACTCAGAACAGGGTCTTTAAACTCTTCTCTCAGGTTAGATAATACGACATGGGTCAATGTTTTTATGTTATCCTCATCGGCGATGGTTAAAAACTTGAGTTGTACAAAACAAATTCAAATTACGGCATGCTGTAACTGTTGATGATGAAATAATTTTCATCGGAATATTTAGACAGGAAAATTAATTGAAAACAAAGCGAAAATCACGGTTTATTTATCTATAACGTAAACAGTATGGTCGGCTGAATAATTTACCACTACCACCCGACATTTCGACCCATGCTTCACGGTCCTTCTTCAAGGAAGAGAGATGGGTTGATTTAAAAAGTTCTGCCTGTGATTCGCAGGTATTCTAATGTTTGGAATCAGAAAGTCAAAAACTTCCGTCACTGTTAAGTTTTTATAGACATTCGATAAAACTAATTAAAGTTTGTAATTAACGGATATAGATTATTTTAGACAGGAAACGAGGATGATTAGAGAATCCACTTAACCGTTACCTTTCGAATACCAGTTTGTCTTCACGCTGTAGCATAGGCTAATGAATTCGATGTCGACGCTGTTCACCGGCGCCAACAACGTCCCCAATGATTCATCATATTCCGTGCGTGCTGTTCGATCTTCGCGAAGAAGATCATCCGCTTCATGGATGGTGTCTGCTGTATCTGTCATCTACCTTAGGTTTTTTAACAGCTGATCAGCTAAAACGCTTAAGTAAAAAAATTTCATAAAAGATATACAGTCAAAATTTAAGTAAATGGCGAAGTCGTATATTTCAAACTATTTCCCAAAATGGCGTACATCAAGCACGAAACGATGGATGCCGCGTTTCTGGTGGAATAAGCAAATAGATCACAAGATTACTTGTCGCGCGAAGGCAAAATCTGCCAGGAATGAAATCCGCGCAGCTTCAGGCCATCTGCGGATCAGCGGAAAAAATTCTTCGTTTTGGCTGCATCTGCATCTCTGATGCGTCACAGATGATCGATTTTGCAATGAATCGACGGGCGGGACGAGTCACAATTCATCGTCTCGAGTCCCTTTGTCGTAGATGACCTTCATAGCAGTTGAGTTCGGGTGGCAATCATGTGCTATACACCGAGCATCGTTGCACGTCACTTTAAACCGATAACGTACGAAACCTCTGCCAGCCAAGCTTGAATTTTCGAAGACTCGTATGACGATGAGCAGTAGCTCATTTGAGCACCATCGCTTTAATCGATACGGGCCAATCGCGAAAGACTTAACTCTGTTGAATTGATTTTTTGAGCAGCAAATTTTAGAAATTAGTCTTTGAATAACCTTGACCGTTGCAAAGAGTTTATGTTCTTTAGCGTTCAACCCATTACAACCAAGTCGACTCGGTCGTCCATTCAACGTGAACAGAAGTTCCTTGCTGATGATTGTTAATGACTGCCCGAATGCTGTCTTCCAACTGCCACATGTCGCTCGATGTCCAGCTCCGCCCGCCTGGACGGGGATAACGTTCATCGGCTGTTGTGAGGCCCACGGCACGACAGGTATGTCACTACGTGGCTGTTGTCGTATGCACGACGTATGTCTGGCATTAGAGCGGGAATTGTCATAGGAAAAAACTGGGTCGTTATGAATGACCAAAAACAGTCACAGGGAAAGCGAACTTAACGCAAGCGAGTTTAATTTATGCTAACTGTAAATTGAATATATACAGAAAAACGCAGGCAGCTCGGTAAATTATTTATCACATTTAAGTTCACACCAGTGCTCGTTCCGGCTGAAACTTCTTCGCCAGACTCACCACTCACTCGCTCTAAAGCGACCTCTCGATTGACAGCAACAATTAGGCATCAGTTGGTGCAAAACAGCTGTGAGGTCAGAACAAAGTCATAGCCGACCGCTTACCCTGGCTTTGAATGCAAAAAACGGAAATGTGTGCAAACTCTCAAGTTTTTACCAAGAATTCGTTCGTCAATGTTTTAGGGTTAGTGATCGACGTTGATATACCCACCTTGTATTTCATTTCTTAATGGTCATGTCGGATACTGATCGTTGCCTTTCTTCGTGACGCAGACGTATGCTGCCTTGACTTTGTGATAGGAGAAATCAGGATAACAGAATTTTGTGATTCGACCGCTTCAGAGACTAGACATTTCATGGAAAAATCCATAAAATGATAAATCTCAG